GACACCCAAGAGCGCGGAAAAGCTGAATTTAAATGGGCGAGGTTGAGCGTGGGCAAGGGGTCATTACCCTAAAATTTCAGCTTCCTAGACCCCGTGATTGCTGAGATATAATTTACCCGTAAAAAACTTTCACGGTGCTGTACGTGTTACCCATGGGTAAGGGAAGGCTGAATTTAAATTTGCCGCGTCACTCGCTGGCGGGGAACACTATACCAAAACTTCAGCCGCCTAGCTTTTGTGGTTCCCGAGTTGGAAGTGCGGGACAAAATGTGGGACATACACATGCACAGACAACCCCGTGACAATATGCGTTTTGTAATGCTGTTACACAGCACAAAACGCATAATAACCAGTGCAGCGATGACTGGTGATCATCTTTTGGCGTACCTGACGTTCATTCTGCCCCGGCGATTACTAGTACGGCTTTTTGCAGAGGAAGAAAGATACACGAGAAACTAAACAAACACATGAAATGCCATGCAGAACATTGGTACCTGAGTATGAACGGTTGTTACAGCTTCGAGTACCACATTAAAAAGTGGCTTATGCCCTTCCAACCATTTGATATTTGGCAAATTCACATCCGATGGCAAATACCCGTAACTCTGGGGCAATCGTTCCAGCGCAATTGGCAACGAATATTCACCGGTTTGCAATCGTCCATCTCTGAGCAGCGGTATCCAGGAATAGCCGATCGGAGTTCTCACTTCTTCACCAATCTTATTTGGTTTACAGGTAATGTGATAGAATGTGAAGAGAATATGATGGCCATCGTTTAAATCAACCGGCAATGCAATCTTTATCTCATCATAGAAATCCGGTGTCCTGAAAATAAATTTTGATAAGATTACTTTCAGAATGTGAAATGTTCCAGTCTATTTAAGGTTGAATGAAAATTTTGTTGAAAAATGTAAGAAGGGATGATAGAAAAGATAAAAAAGGTAACCCAGGCTGGAACGCACCAGGCGAGCCGGTGCGATCACGCGTTTTTGCACCAACCTTTGAGGTACTCGATCTTATTTCCCTGTCCTCCACTCGTTGTTCTCGCCCCTCCCCCTTGTTTGCATTTTAGGAGTATGATTGAATTTGAGGTTACGTGGGGGTTATGCCATGTAGCAGGTTCACGTTACGGTTGCGGTTAAGGTCCGAGCTGAGAACGAATTTTTGAAAATATGCAAA